TGAATTTGATCTTGTAAGTTGGTAACACTTGATGATGATGTAGCTCCTTGAGTATCTTTATCTTCTTGAATTTTTTCCTTCCTAATACCTTGTGGAGATGCTGATGGGCCTGCTTTCAAAATTGAACTATAAAAATCTCTTGCTTTTGCCACCGTATTAAGCCGATAACGCACGCCCATATAATTAACCATTATACCAGCTGGTATCTCCCATCTGAATTGTATTTGTCTCCCTTTCAATTCTTCAGCCAGAAAAGCAAAATCCTTTCTTCTTCTGAGTATCTTGGGTGGTATTTCTTTTAAAATTATCACATCTTGATCTAAAATTTGAAATCTCTGTTTATAGAAGACTTGAATAATTTCATTGCGGATTGATTTTTTTGAAAAGTAAACAACAACATCTCTTGGCAGGTTTCTCTGTCTTGCCACCCATGAATTGACTCTAAAAAAATTTTCCACTTCTCTCTTGACTTCTTCAGGTTGGCAGGACAAAACCGAGGCTAATTCTGTTACAATTTCCTCCTCCAGTTTTTCTTGAGCATTTTCTCTCAATCCTCTTATTCTCAACGCATGCTCCGTTTCTCTAAATTGTGACATAAGAATCTCATTTTGATTTATATCAGTACTCTCTTCCACTTTCCCCATTCTAATGTCCAAAACTTCAACATGTTCCTCCACATCTTCCACCCGCACTGCAATGCGGTCTACATGATCAGCCAGGCCTTGCAATGCAAACACTATATCATCTCTCAGCTCAACATTTTTTTCTTCAAGTTTTTCCTCAAGTTTCTTTTCAAACAGCTCATCCATTTCACATCTAATCTGTTTGGCAGTGTCCTTTAAAGCATCTTGTAAATCTTTCAGTGTTAAAGCTGGCAATGGAGGAGAAGGTGGGGGAGTAGGTTTTGTCTGCTGTGATATCTGTACAGCTGGAGAAGGATTCTTGTGAGTGTCCCCAATTGTGAATTAAACCTGTCAGTCATCAAAAAACCCAACTTTTTGCACATCTACAGAACAATCTTTTTGCTCCCAGCTTTTGAAAACACATTATTAAAAACTCAATTATTTGTGTGACAGTGAACACCAGCTATGGATATGCATACATTTCATTTATCAGTGTAACTCCTGGAAACTGATGCAACCTTGACAATTATGTGGGTTATCCTTTCCTGTTATGGTGGCAGTTCCATGAAATGAAACCCCATAATTAAAACTATGTTTTGAGGTTCACCAAAGGAGAAATGCATTTTATTATAAAGTTCTATATATTTCAAGATAGACTATGTCATTTTTGCACGCTTTTGTCTCTGGATATGCCAAATCACTGCAATAAAACATATTTTCCCAGTGTGAGTGACATTATTTGCAAAGAATGTTCCATAGAGCTGTGAAGTTTTTCACTATGCACCCTCTTCAAACTTCTCATATTAGTTCACAAAGTTTTGACCTTTTCAGTGGTATTTACCTCTAAAAAGCGATGACAAGGGAGTTTTGTACTTATTACAATGAACCACTGACATGGGCTATTATCTTTAAATGTCAAACATCATTCTGAGGGACTTAATAACATCAAGTGCAACTTTGTGTAATCTTTGCAATAATTTGGTAAAAAACCACAAGTTTAAATATTTTTATCACAGATTCAGCAGAATCACTAAAATGGGAAAGCATACCATCCTCTTTAAATAACTTGAGTAGCTAAATATTGTGAGAATTGAAAGGTAAATAAACTATGGAAGATTATTCTCTTGGTTGAAATGAAGTGAAAATCTCCCCAGATAAATGATGGATTACTGAATTCAGATGCTACATTTATTTGATTTGTTTAAAACAATTTTGTTAAGTGATGCTGCCATTTGTCAATTGTTTTGTTTACTTTGATAATGGCAAGCGCTAACAATTTTTTTTTGCTTCATAGTAGTGATCAGAAGAAAGTCTTTGGTTATTGTGGCCGTTGATACAAAACCTTGTTTTGATTATATGTCCCATATAATGTTTCCTTAAGAAGATTTTCTGAGATTCATTTATTAGACTTTGAAAGAATTAAGAAATAAAAAAATAATAATCTCATACAGAATCTTCTGAGGAAGAATATTTTGTTGTCCCTTTCTGAGCATCTCAGAAGAGAAAGCTTTTCTATATTTTTCAGTGAAAATGTTTTGCTTTTTTTTTTTAAGTTTTATTGATTTTCTAATTTCACATTTAAATATTTGAAAAGCAACGTGGCGGCTGAGTTGATCAATAATTCAATAATATACAAATATCTTTAGTACAGATCTCAAATTATTACATTAAATATTTCCTCTCTTTTCCCTTTGGTATTTACTGTCTCATATTTGAATTAATACAATTCTTATTATATCGATTAAATAAAAATAACTTTCTTACATTTATCAATAATTTTTGTTTATACATATCCTAGTTGTTTTAACGTTCAATCTTTTTAGACAATCAATGTCCTGATTATTTTTTTCCAATTTTTCATTTCTCATTAATATTTAAATTTAACATTTAGTATGTATAATTTCCAAGTTTTAAATAATCCCATTTCCTTTTATCACAATTCATCACTAGATCTAATGTTCAGGATACACATCTTATCATTTGAATTCTCATCATCTTACATCAACCAATTAATAATACAATATAATATTCTTATTTTCTGATCATTTCCAAATATCTTAAATTTAGTAACCAAAATTTCTCTTATTTCAACATTTAATACTTCTTCTACAAGTTTTTATTGTAGATTAATGACTTGTTGCTTTCTGATATACCTATCATATACTGAATGATTTTTCTGTACCCTACATAAAATCTGATCATACCCCCTTTAGTAAACTGGGTCCCCCCAATTATATCTAATCCATCCCATCACATTTGGCAGGAGAGGTGTACTGCAGGACCCATCAGCCATGAGTGTCTTCTGGAAGTATCCTTGAAGAGGGTCTTTTCTGCCCTGGAACTTGCTCTGAGGGATATCATCCCCCATAGACTGAGTTGGCCACAACCCTATGGGCTTTTTGTAAAGCTCTGAAGACATAAGTTTTGCCATGGGAACGCAAAAGCAGGGTAAAGCCAATTCAATGGCTGTACTGATTGTCTGAATGAATGGGATTATGATAGTTTCTTTTGTTTTTAATATTGGTTTGTTAATTGTTTTTTAAATTGTTGTAGTGTTCTTTTTTATACATCTGTTTTAATTGTTTTGTAAACAGCGCAGAGTAATACATATGAGATGGGCAGCTATATATAAATTTAAATAATAAGATAATAAACAAACTACAGCATCAGTTGCCGAGATCATCAACTTTCTTATTAAAAAAAAAGTTTTAAAAAGTTTCTTAAGAACTGGAGTCTCTCTCCAAGTGCAGCCTAAGATCGACTACACTCCTTGGAAAAAAATGAAATATGTTATTGTATTTAGTGCTCAAAAATAAAATGTCTAAACACCTGTTAAATATGTCCACAGGCAATGCATATTATTGATTGCACATTTAGTTAGCAATTTATTGCCTAGAATAATAATTCAAGACTGTTAACTATGACTTTCTAACTGCAGAAGATTGCAATAACAATAAGAGTTTTGGTTGGTTAACAGAGAGTTTTGGAATTTCAATTTTGTCCCTTGTTATTATTAATTATTATTACTTTTATATTTTTATATAATATTTTTATTATTGTTGTTTTTCCTGTTAACTGTTTTGTTATTAATATAGTATATAGATGACAGGTTAACAGTTTATAAACAGATTTAATAGTTTAGTAGTTTAAAATTATTTTGGCCTGTTTTGCAAAGGATGGGAAACTGACATTGTTGTAGTATATTAATCAGCATTCAATTAGGGAGGATTCTGTGTGGATATACTGTATGTTAGTTGTTGTTTTTCTAAGTCACTTTTTCTTTTTAATATCTTGTTTGTTGTATTTTTTAATATTTGGTGTTTTGTATTTTGTATTCTTTGAATAAACTAAATATTATATGATGTCATTATGACTGTTTCGTTATTTTTTGTCATTGTGGCTAGCAGGTAAAACTTATGCTTGCTTTGACTTGAGTCTAGAACACAGACTATCAATGAAAGAATAGCAAAGGAGTCACTTCAACACATCTCATGAACAACACAACAACAGGAAAAATACTCTCCTCTGGCAGCTGACTTGAGGCATTTTCCACATACACTGTAGAGTTTTTTTTGTTTGAGCTCAACAGAAGAAGCAACATAGTTTTTGCATTTGGCACCCCAAAAAGGTAACATGGTCACCCTATGTATAAAGCACATATATGCGGCAAACATTTGTATTTGGACACTTTCTGGAAGAGGACAATTGCACAACCAGAAAACACAAATGACAATGTTATATTAAAACTATTGTAAACTTTTGTTTAATTGACTTCCCATCACCTTTTTCCTGACACTGATAACCAGAAGAGAAACACCCTGTGCTGTTTTATAAACCAACGTTCAAAGCACTTGTGATCAATTTCCGGTATTTTACAGAACCAGGCCCTTTGTGTATGTTACATATTTCTGCCAAAATTCTAGGATGTAAACTCTAACAAGTATTAGAGTGTATTCTAGTTAGTAGTATTCTAAGCCCAAAATATACACAACAACAAAAGATTTGCTCTGGTATTTTAAAATGACATGGCTCTCAGAATGTAGTGTTATAATAAGATACTAGCAAACTAGAAGGCACAATACATATGCAAAACACATAAACCAATTATACATTCAGTTGAAAACAATTCTAAAAATAATGATATATGTTACTTTCCTAAACCTCTGTACAGAGGGTCAGGCTAATGTGGACCCCCCCAAAGAAGACTCCATTTCTTTTGTACACATGCAATATTGTTATAGCGCTCATAGATACGAGTGTATTGAAGGTCTTGAGCCAATTAGCATTTTAAAGATTAAGATCAACATCTTGAATATACAATCCAATGTCTGCCCTCCAATTTTTCAAAAATAATATTAATGAAAGAAGGTATTATACCTGTACTCATCCTGGGTAAACCGTGGAATCACTGAGGGTTGCAATACGGAAATTTCTACAGTGGTTGCATTAAATTTCACAGGGTCACCATCATCATAGGCAATGACCACAAGCTGTTAAGCACACAAACACAATGACAACTTATGCATCTCAATTCAATAATTTTAGAGATTGGAGGTTTTTTAAAAAAAATTAATCTTAAGGATTTCCAAAAAAAAGTAACAAAAATAAAAAAATAAAATAAAATGTGAACAATACATCCAACAGGTCAACACATTTAAAAATAAACAAAAAAACCCACCTCTGCCCTTTTTTTTTTCTACTCAGAAATGCAATCCTAATTGTAAAGCTCAGTTCTATAATATTTTAAACCAGCACATTTTAATAGTGCATTTTCTTAGGGAAATATAAGTAGAAAGAATCACTGTTAGAGATGTGCAGGTGTCTCATGAGAAGTTTCCTTAATTCCATTGATTTTTTTTTGATTCTCTCAAAATTGTTTAGATATTTCATTTCAGCATAATTTGAAGACCTGAAAGACCAGGTTAGGGTTAGATTGTCATGGAGAAAATCTATATAAGAGGTTGCTATGAACTGGAAACAATTTGATGACATATTATCAATCTCAACATAAACATCAATAAAATTTTGCTGCATATATAATAGCAATAGTAATAACATTTAGACTTATATACTGCTTCATATTGCTTTACAGCCCTCTCTAAGCAGTTTACAGAGTCAACATATTGCACCCAACAATCTGAGTCCTTATTATACTGACCTCAGAAGGATGGAAGCTGAGTCATCCTTGAGCTGAGTTTGATTCGAAGGAATCAAACAATACTGCAATACTGCATTCTAACACTGTGCCACCACAGCTCTTAATAATACCAGTGGGCTTATTCCATACTGTTTACATGCAATATAAACATTTTGGTGAAGATTAATTCTCTGATTAAAAAGCTCCTTATTAGGCACATTTCTAAGGCCAATTTCAATTTGCTGGCAGAAGTATTCCTTGAAAAGAATCCCAACTACACTGGAGTTCTAACAAAAAAGTACAGAAAGGGAAAGAGCTTTTATTTACTGATGCTATCTCTTTCCATGCTTCATCTCTAAAAGATCAAGGCTTAAAGTGGCCCTCCTTGGCAGTGGTGGTGGTCAGGATGAAGTTGAGGCTAGGGTGCAGTGGTGGCCCGCTAAAACTGCTGAAGGCTTTGAACCTCTATTTCAGCCCCAGCACCATTGGTACACCGCTGCTATTATGCAAGTCAAAAGGACAGAGATGGCGTGCAGGAGATGGGGGTGAGTTTAAAAGGAAGCAGAGAAGGAAGTCTCTTATCTCATTATGGCTTGCGGTTGGGAGAGACCAAGCTGGGAATACAGGTAGTCCTTGACTTATGACTATAATTGGGACCAGAATTTCCATTGTTAAGCAAAGCAGTTTTAAGTGATTTGTGCCAATTTTATGACCTTTTTGCTGCCATTGGTAAGCAAATTACTCAGTTAAGTGAATCACATGAGCATTAAACAAAATCTAGCTTCCCACATTGAGTTTGCTGGATGGGGAGGTTGACTGGGAAGATCGTGAATGGTGATCACATGATCATGGGATGCTGTAACTGTTGGAAATACATGCCAATTGGTAAGCACCTGAATTTTGATCACATCAAAACCATGGGGATGCGGAAATGGTTGTAACTGTGAGTATCAGCTGAAAGTCACATTTTTCAATGCCATTGCAATTTAAAACAATTGCTAAACAAATGATCATAAATCAAGGTCTACCTGTAGCTTGCACCAGCAGGGTTCTGTTAACAATGACAGTGGGAAGTGCTGGGATTGCTGTCAGTAAGCAATGTGATCACATTATGTTTCAGCTAATGACTACATTATTTAGTGACAGAAAATCCAGTCCCAATTATTGTTGTGACTTGAGGACTACCTGTATTTTATTAGTATTGCTCAGGACTACCTGTGTTTTATTAGAATAAAATAGAAGAAAACTTCAGTGAAACCTGGAGCAGTATTCAGCTCAAAGCATACTTATTTAAATGTTAGTTTAATTTCTGGTTAAGTCCCTGCACTTAGTTTGTATATCAACATTAAAGAGTGGATATCAATATTATTGTACAGAGCAAACTCTGTATAGAGTCATTCTAGTGGCATTATTATGCAACATATTAAAATGGCATTCACCAATCTGCCATCTGGTAGGTAGATTGATCATGCTGTCTGTGAAACAAAGAAATTGTAATTCCAAACATAGTGGAAAGACTCCAGGAAGACTGTCTTAAACATATTGAAATTTATATGCATACAGTTACCTTAAACAATGTACTAGGTTCTTCATTAAGATTCACTCTGGTTATTACACATCCAGATTCTTCTTCAACATCAAAGATACTTGCACTATATGGGAACTGGACAACATCTACTTTATATCGTACATGACTTGCCGGTGTACCCTATGAAAAAATGTATATTTTAAATTGTAGATGGCATAGCTTAGGTGGTAAGAATGAAAAAATAAAATGGGATTAAATATTACATTCTGGGACTTTGCTTCTAAAATAAAACACATTTTTATGGGGCTTTAAATATACTGGGCATCCACTTCTGTAAAAACATTTAAAATTTATTTATGTATATGTAAAATTTATTGGTCACCCATCTTACTTCGAGGTAACTCTTTAATATTGTAAACATGCACAGTATACTTTTTTATTACAAAGAAAGTATTTTCATATTATATATATATATATATGTCTGGAGAATCACAAACCGTGAGACCACCAGGAGATAAAACTATAACAAGTTTATTTACAATTAAAAACACCTAGCTTTCGCCGGCCTCCTGCCGGCTTCGTCAGGGTGGCTAACCATCAGTGGGTGGCTGTTTTTATGGGAGTGGTGCCTTTTGCACCCGGCTCCTCGATCTTGTGACCGGGCCCAGATAGTCCTCCTGTTTTGCATTCTTGATTGTTCTTTTGCGAGTTGTTGCGTTCCTGGTTCTCTCTTTCCCACTTCCTCTCTTTCCCTGTTCTACTTGTTCATCGGGAGGGGGCGGCACCCCTTCGTTTGGGACCTCATCCTGCTGTTCATTAACCTTTTTTCTTTTCCTGGCCACTTGCAATCCCACCTTACTTCCCTCCTCCTTCTTCTCCATAGTGCTGTCTGACTTTCCTCTCACCCGTGTTCCCACTACTCTCACTACTCCTTCATTCTCATCCTCCAGCCATCTCCTTTCTTCCTTCTCTCCCCCTTTTGCACCACCATTCAACCCTACCTCCCTAGGTGTGTGTGTAACCATTACTCCTCTCCTCGCATTTCCCCGGGGCCGGGCCATTGGGGACGCAAGCCGCGCCTCCCCATTTGTTCTTATTACCTCGCCGTTAGCGGTATCTCTTCTCTCATGCTCACACCCCTCCTTTTCCTTTTTATGAATCCCCTCCTGTCGTCCTCTTGATGCGGGGGTGCCCTCTCTATCGTGTCCATGCTCCTGCCACTCACTCTCCCCACCCTCCATCCCCATGACAACCCCTCCACTGTCCCCCCTTCCTTTGCATTCTCCCCTCTCCTCCTCCTTTCTCGTTCCAATCCTCCAATTCGATGTTTCCTCAGACTGTCTGTAGGTACAAGTCCTCCCCNCTCCCCACTCTTCCTTCGGCAGGGGGCCATTGGGGGCGTATGGGTGCCCTCTGCCTCACATCCACCCCCACCCCCAGCATTTGTGCTGGACCTCTCACTTCTTCCACCGCCCCCCCACGACGTTTTTCTCTTCTCTCCTCCCTCCCCAGCCTCTACTCTCTCATTCAACCCCTCATCTGCGCACCCGCAGATGTTAATCTCTTCTCCTTCCCTACCCGTCCTCTGATGGGCGGTCACTAAGGTCGCGGGGGTGCTCTCTCTTCCATACCCACCCACCTCCCTCTCCCTACCTTTCTTCCAATGGGGGATCTCTGGGGGCATTGGGGGCCCATCTCCTCCATACCTGTGCTCCTGTCATTCACTCCCCCCACTCTCAACTATCTTAGCCGATCTCCCACCACTTCCCCACCATCCTTCCCATTTCCTCTGCTCCACTCCCTTACTGGCTTCAACTCTCTCATTCAATCCTTCCTCCCCCCACATCTGATCGCTAGCCCTCTCTCTCTCCCTACCCTTCCTCTGGCGTAGGGTCGTTAGAGATGCGGGGTGTGTCACGGAGCTCATTATACCGATCTTACTCCTGGTTGTGTCTTGCCATCCCCACTCCGCTGTGGCGTCTTACAAATCTCAGAGGGTAGCCATTCAAGCGGCAGACCTGGTGCAAATACCTCCTCTCCTCAAATTTGGCCCTCGCTGTGCTGCAGTGCGTGTGTATGCGTTGGAACAGCGTCTTAATACAGCTGACCTTATGGGAGACCGGATGGTTACTATTATAATGGAGGATGCGGTCTGTATGAGTTGGCTTTCTGTAGACCTTGGTGCTAACGGATCCATCTGGCAATCGTTGGACCATCACGTCCAAGAAGGCCAGTGAGCCCCGCGCCTCCTCCTCCATAGTAAACTTAATATCCGGATAGATAGAGTTTAGTATTCCCATAAAGTCAGCTCTATGCGCTCGTTTGACGACAACAAAAGTGTCGTCAACATACCGTACCCAGAATCTGGGTCGGTACTGGGTCATAGCCTCACGTTCCAGCTGCTACCCTCTGAGATTTGTAAGACGCCACAGCGGAGTGCCAAAATCCCAAAATGACCAACGCGAGAGGGAACTTGGCACGCAAACCACACGCGTCACGCTGCCATACATCAGCAATGTATCGGAGGCTACGGCCAGACTGCTGGCCCCTTACAACGTCAAAGTGGCCCATAAGCCAGACCAAACACTGCGGTCAAAGATCATGTGCCCAAAGGACCCCCTCCCCACGATGGAAAGATCGGCAGCGGTCTACAGAATTAATTGTATGGACTGCAAGAGCCACTACGTGGGTGAAACATCCAAAAGACTTAAGACCCGTCTCCACGAACATAACTTGGCCATTAGGAGAGGTGAGCAGTACTCACAAATATGGTCTCACATGGCCGAGCAAGACCACCGCTTTGATTTTGAGCACGCCCAGGTTCTTGCTACAGACACCACAAAAAGTGGCCAGTTATTGAAAGAAGCTTGGTTCTCGGACCATGACTCTATTAACCGGCACGTGGACATATGCCAGGCACAACAGACCCTTAAGGCGTGGCACAACAATCGCCACAGTAGAGGCCTGGGCCGTAGAACGAATATGCCTAGGACCATCGCCTTCCGGGATGCGGGGGCCAACGTAGCGGCCCAGGACCCCGAAGGTGCTGTACGGGGAAATCCTGCCTATAACCAGCAATGGCAAATACATCAACATGCCTCTGGTGGACTGAGCATGAGGAGAAGACCCCGGGGCAAGATGGAACACCTGTTGGCCATAGAAAGAAAGAAAGAAGTATCAAAGTGTGGATTGAGAGTGTGGGATGATCGTGAATGCATGGAGGAACAGGGCGGACTGCGAAGCGGAAGATCGAGGGACGCACGGAGAAGCCCCCAGGGCAAGATGGAACGCCCGTTGGCCGCAGAAAGAAAGAAAGATGAAGCAAAGTGTGGATCGAGGATGTGGGATGATTGTGAATGTGTGGAGGAACAGGGCAGACTGCGAAGTGGAAGATCGAGGGACGCACGGACTGCCGCGAGTAAAAAGGGGTGGGAGGAAATGGACCGAGGCTTGATCGGGCACTCCTACAATGAGAAAGTTGATTATAGGATGGTGGAAAGCCCCCTCAGATTATGTGGGTCGGGTGAAGGACTGCATGGAAGCACGGATGGGGGTGTGGGAGGAGTGGTGGAATGTGTGGTAGAATGTGTGGAGGAACAGGGCGGACGACGAAATGGAAGATTGGGAAGCGCATGGATTGCCGCGAGTGAAAGGGGGTGGAAGGGAACAGATTGGGGCTTGATCGGGCATTCCCGTAAGGAGGAAGCTGATCACAGGATGGGGGAAGCCCCCCGCAGGTTCGGTGGGTTGGATGAAAGAGTTCATGGAATGGATGGGGGTGTGGGATACGGAGGTGTTTATGAGGGAGAATGGGGGGTTGATAGAGTGGGGGCACGGCGGGTGGTAGGTGAGGCATTATCACAGCAGAAGCACTGGCTGGACAAAGAGAGCTCGAGTGCGAATGGGAGTGGGGCGAGTGTGTATTGTGGAGGTGGAGGGAATGTGTGGAACGGGTTGTGAGGAGAAAGAGTAGGAGATATACGGAGCGCCGTAGCTGGAGGGGGGAGGAAGGAATCGATCAAGATTCGACGGAGAAGCCCGATAAAGGAGGAACCGATCGAAAGTCTGTCAAAGGCCCCCGGAGGCTTCTTAGGCTGGATAGAAGATGTGGCAGAGGTACGGATGGAAGTGTGTTTGGGGCAGTTGGACAGGATAGTGACGAGGTTAGGAGGGAGATTGATGGGATCGAAGTATGTAGGGTGCTAGGTGAGGATGCATTATTGGAGGACTTGTGGAGCAAAGAGAGTTTGGATGTAGCGAGTGCTTGAAGAGGGTGATGGATGGAGGCGAACGAGGAATGCCCGACTGGCAGAGACAACAACCCAGCCAGCGCCCCTTAACTAGATCACGCATGGAAGGAGAGCTCCGAGGCACAAGAGGGCGAACCCTCACGAGGTGTGACAGCAGTAGGAGGATAGAGGGGTGGGGTAGCCGTTATGCCGGCATAGAGAGAAGTGATCCACCCAACACGGATGAAAGAAAAAGGGGGGGAGAGGTCAGTAACAGCTGGATTAAACCCCGTGAGACTGATGAGTTTGAGGGGAAGGATGTGGAGAGCAGAGTGGATGAGAGGCATAGGAAAGAACCCCCGATCGTCCCTGATAAGGATACCCAAGGGTCACATGGTGACAAACAGAAAAGGAAAGTAAAGGATTTACACGTGGGTAGAAGGAAGGCATCCACAGCGCAGGAGCGCACACACCTGGGCCCGGTTACACGATCGCGCAGCCGGATGCAGGCACTTGGAAGCAGCATATAAACCCTCCCTAAAACCACCTTATCAACCCTGATGATGTCGGGAGAGCCCGACGAAAGCTTGGTTGCCTGTATTTTTAACAATATTTTAATTGCTTTTAATTTTTAATCGCTTTTAAATATTTTAAAATTTCCTCTTGGTGATCGTGGTTATTCTGCTACATATATATATATATATATATATATATATAAAAGATTTCTCTTTCCCATATTTGGGCCGACAGGGTGTTCAAAAAAAAAAAAGCATTCATCCTCTTCCCCTGTCTCTTGTAGCTAACAAAGCGAGAAAGAGCCTGTGGCCTAGTGGCTAACATCTCTGCTTAACATGCAGACAGCCCAGGTTCGAATCTCAGAAGGGTATGTCTGGCTGATGAAACCAAATAAGGTTAGAAATAGCTATCCCAGTACTCCCTTAATTCTTTGTTAGCAA